AAAGATTATGGAAACAATTTTGCGCGCAGAAAAAATTTAATTTAATAGAAGAGTTTTTAATCCTTTTGCAAGAATCACTTGCTTGTACCCCTTTTGGCATACTGGCAACCAGGGTGTACCAGTGTTATATTTTTTCATTTTGATTGAACACGTGCCCAAAGCTTTTTCAAGTTAGCACGAGCTGATTCGTATGTTCCCAATTTCACTTTGAGATTCCCCCAGAATGCTCAATGGGAATCAGGAGATTGCAGAGGACAGTGTAGCACTTGGAATGACTAATTTGAGTCATGAGCGCACCGATAGTGCAGTGTATCATGTCACCAAGTCCAAGGCCAATCGTATGTTCTGGGTAGGTTATTCTTAGTAATGTCTTAATAAGTGATTGCGGTAATGCTCCCTGTCACTTTTTTCATATATCTGACCCCTCAGGTATTACACAGGACCAAATCACAATTGATCCTCTCCCTTGTTTATACGTTTACACCACCTAGTGATCAAGTATTCGATTATCTCCGGATCGCCTCCAACACCACCTAATATCATCTGAACCATAGAGATTGATCTTGGTCTCGTCCGAAAAGATTACCTTTTCTTAGTAAGAAATGGACCAATTTTCGTACTTCTTCGCAAACTCAAATCTTAGTCGCTTGTGACGTCTGTCAAAGTAGGTTTAATTAACTTTTCTTTTCGCAAGGAGACCAGCAGAATGCAATGCTCTCGTACGGTCTATCTTAAAACTACTCTATCTAATGTTGTTTCTATGATTTTTGAAGCTTTCTGTGCAGATTCATTTGCGCCCATGTCACTTGTCGTACAAGTCAAGCTACATCCCTGTTTTTCAAGATCTTTGGACGCCCAGGTTCATTGCAAGGACGATTTGGAAGGATGCGTTTTGATCCGGGGTATTGTGGCATTACTGAGACCACATTCACGACCGCTCTCATTATAAGGTTTACCTTGATCTAAAAGACATTTTACATAATTTTCTTAATCGATTGAAATTTTACGCAGTATTAAATTAAGGTCTCTAAATAAGCTATCGTTTACAGTCACTTAAACCCTTTAAAAAAAAACCCCTTTAATGGAGTGATCATAAAAATTTCGTATGAATGGGGGGCATACATGCAAAATCGTTTCAATCAGCACAACCTTTAAGAAGCGATAGACTTAACTAAGAAAGCAATTCCTCTAATACAAACTACGCTAAATAGATCTCAATCCAAACTTATATATATAAGGGATTCATATAACCAATTATTAATTAAATGCGTTATAGAATCTTTACGAAAAAACATAAAACAGAAACAATTTTGAACGATAGTGTAACAAGTCTGTAATTGTCAGCTCTTTAATATTTTTGAAATCAATTCTATATTTGGAGTTTCAATTTTCCTTCTTACTTTGTAAAAATGGAAAAGTAAAATGGGATCCTTAGAGAGTACCAATCTCTCAATCTCCCAAAAAAAAATTTCGTTATCGTTGATTTTTATATTTAATATTAAACTTAAATTTTAGGGTATTTGTTGAAAGAGTACACGTGTAACTGACAGAGCTTGAAAGACCCGAAAAAAGCCCTCATTGAATAACATTATTGCCTTTAACTTCGAAAAAATGAAAATATACAGCGATACTTTCAAAAATCTTCGTAACTCTCATATCTCGAAAGAATATTAAATAAATATTTATAATTTTTACTATTTATATTTAATTTAATTAGGTATTCTTAATAAAAATAAATGTGTAATTGTCAGAGCTTTGATAGTTTAGTGATAAAGTTTATTAATTGTTTTTCCGAGGTCTGCGACATCAGTGACTTCTTATAATCAAGGTTTACTTCGTATATTATCTAGTTTATTATCTTTAACAACGATAAAAAATATTTCATTTACAAATTTTAAATGTTTTACTGGATAAATTTCTTTGTTTTCGCTACCTCTTCAGCGACCAAGGTTAGAAAATTTAAAAAGTTTTACTTAAATTCTGTGCATTTCTGTGGCTAGCATGCTTATTTATAAGTTTTATTTTAGGAAGCAACTTCTTGAGGTCCAAAACCTGGACCCCTTGCGTCATTACAATAATACTGGAGAACTTTTGATCAATATGAAAATTTTATTAAATATTTAAAAAGATATATAAAAATATTTTTAAAAAAACTTACAAATGATTAAGTGAATGTCTGCCAGTAAGGTTTTGAAGGTTACTTTAAAAATATTATTCAGCTTATGGTGCGGACATTTATAGGCAACTCCATCACCTCAAAACCAAATTTTTAAAACACACTTTATTTTTACAGCCTTTTCAAGCATAGATAATGCCTTCAACAGGGTGAGCGTATTTGCACATTTAAGTACGTAAGGATTAAGGCTCGACTCATTTGTTGATTTATTCGCGGATTGTCAATTTATTATTTATTATCTTTCTTGAACAGGTATATAGACCCTTTTGTTTTTATAGCATAAAATAAAGTTTTTATCAATTTTCGACTTGTAGCTTAAGTATATCCTGTGTTTTAAATTTTTACTATTGTGTATAATTACATTAAGTAACAAGCGAAAAAGGTAAAAAATATTATTCCTTTTTGCCTGTGTAGAAGATATATAAAAAGTCGACTAGATAGCGTAAAGTCTGATAGTCTCAGTCATGTATTACCTTTTACACATAATGTAATTTATTGTGAAGTGCATAATAATCACAGGAAGTTCCATGAGCAATGTAGCATCTTGACCTTGATGACTCGTGCTTTGGTGCTCTGAAGCATCTGTTACATTATAAATGTACTCAGAAACCGCCCTTTAGTAACTAACGGTACCGCAACTGTGTTTTATGTTTATTCAATTTGTATGCAACTTTCCGAATGGGAGCAAATTTCATATGCGACAATTTCAACATAAAGAAATTTATATTTTTTAACATTCTGTGACTTTTTTTTTTATTTTTTTTATTGTAAAAAAGAAACTTAACACGACAAACCTACCAACCAATATATATCTTTTAATCTCACAAAGGTAACAGCGGCGATAATTATATTTTTCAAGAGCTAATTAAGTTTTCGTATCAAAAGCAAAAAGTATTTTTCTATTAAATGTAAATTTAGCTGCTGACTTTACGATCCCTTCAATCTGTAAAACTAAAAATTGCTTCTGTTTGTATCGGGAAATGAAGGAACTGACTTCCTCAGAGTGAACATTTTTCATGCCGGTAATGACAAAAAAAAATGGGTCTTCTTCTATACTCCCTGTTGAACTTTGGTTTAAAATAATGACCTAGTTTGCAATAATTATTGCAATGTGCTCCAGACGAGCAACTTCTTAAGTATAAACAAATCTCGAAAATTGATTTAAATAAGTACATAGATGTAGTTAAATCTCTATATGCTAACAAAACTCTAAAATTAGATATAAACAATAAATGGATACATTAGCATTCACCCGAAAATAGATAATGTATGTAAACCAAGCATAATAAAGGATAGAATATAAAGACGGTGTGAAATTTTTCGTGGGGCTTTACTAAATATAAAAAAATTTTGACGAGACTCTTGAAAACATTAGATTATTTACGATTAAAAAAAAATAGACGTTACCAACCATACTCTTAGCAAATTGCGGGAGGGATAATATTTGCAACAATTATTGATGCTCAAGTCAAAATTATAACAATAGTAAGCACTACTTCTAAAACTTTTATATTTGGTTGTTATGAAACTGAAACTACTACAAAATTTAAATTTTATTTAAGTAATTGTTAACGCTAGAACGCTAGAATTTAATTCTGATTTTCAGGTCAGTTTAATCACAAGTCAATGCTACATTCCCGGCATAGTCTTCTTGTATATATTATTTCTCCAATCATACTATGTTATAGTCACTAAACTACACTGTGTGTAGATTTAAAAATTATTTGTAATTCAAAGTACTTTAAGCTATACAATTTGTGGGTAACTCAACTTAAGATAGTAGTGATTGAAAATTCATTTTAAAAACAAGCTTTTTAAAATACTAATTTAAGCCTCCCAATTTGGCAAAACTGATCTTCATTGTACCCCCCTGGGTAGAGTAATTCCGTATTATATTATACATTTGAGACTGAGATTACTATATGTAGTATTCTCGATTATATGTTGTTCAGTCGGGGGGGGCCTAATAATTAGCTATACATTTAAGTTAAATAACCTAAATATTTTAAGGAGTATAGTTATATCGTACTGTGCTATGTAACAGAATTTGTAATTTAAACCGCAAATTTGTTGCCTAACTTGCTGCTTATAACGCGGTACCCTTTTTAATTAAGAAGGATCATAATAGAATACAGTTTTTCCAAAATTATCTTGTTTATTAGGTTTTTTACTTTAATAAAACTAAGTAGTATTACAAAAAATACGAGTACAAGAAAACCATGAACCCCAAAATTTCTAGTTATTACATAAACTTGTGCAACTTACATAAATTTCCTGATTTCAAAAAAGAAATAAGGCGCTTCTAAAACTTCTGTTATAAGTAGCACTTAAGAGAACTTTTCCAGTTAATTTGAAACCTTTTTTACTAACTATTAATACATTTGGATTATATGGACGTTGAGGTTTAAATGAATGTGAATATAAATAATTTATGATTGTTAGCATAGGATGATTAGTCAACTTTATATAACCAGAGAAAGAGAAGCCCCACTGAATTTTTTTTCTCTGTTTTATGTACACAGGTCACTTACCCTTTTCCTGCATAATTAAATTACCGACCTTCGTTCACCAAGAAACTTAAGCAGAAACTAAACTGTGTGCCTTTGGTTTGGTGAAAAGTGCATTACAATGTGGCCATTAGCTATAACCTAAAGAGTCCACTATTAAGTTTTATAATCGCAACTTCCTTTTATGGACTACTAAATGTTTATTATACCGAAAAATTATACTGTTAATTAAATTATATAAATAAAGGAAAGTACTCTACCAATGAGGATGTTTTTAAAAACAGACAGTTATTTATTACAATACAAGAGGTAAAAGTAGGCTGTTTTCCCACTTTTGAGGGTGCTTTTAATAATGTCTCAAGTCTTAAAGGTGGTTCCCTTTACTTCCATTCCTGATGCCACCTTTTGGCACGAACTTACAAGGAAAACACTAAATATTTATAAATTGGACGATACTCCAACTCCTCTATGGGGTTCTCCCTTAGATATTAAAGTTACTTTCTTTTAACTATTTTCCTCAACAAAGGTTATTTCTATAGTGGAAAAGCACTTCTCTATTCTCCACGATTTCATCTTGATAGCCACTCCTTTGACGAGTATTATTTGTTTAAAATATTTTGTATATACTATAGTAACTAGACTTTTAATTTAAAAAAAGGATTCCTGAAACTGTGGGAACAGTCGTGCGGGGGACACTGTTTAATTATAGTCGACTTGAAGATTTTAAAAAAAGTGATAAGTCAGCCATTCTTAACTCTATTTGTGACGAGGTGCCGTCATATGTATTTTTACTTTTATCAACTCTTCACGGTAATACTAACTAGATATGGGCAGATATTTCTTCTGAAAATGTTTTTGAGGATCCTTCCCTTGTTAATCGTTTTTTCCTGCTTTGTTATGCTAATATTAAAAAATATAAGTATTATTATTGGTAATACTATTATAAATTTACAAGTTTAGACTATTTTATTAAAATATATTACTAAAGATCTATTGAGAATTATGTATTAAAAAATTATGTTAACTTTTTAAGAACTTTGAATCTCTTAAGTAGTAACTGCCTTATAATAAGTTATAAACTAAAAATTTAAATATTTTGATTTTAAAAAAAACCTATTACTATTCATACTAAAATATTTAAAAGGTAATAAAAGTAAAAAAAAATAATTTTTAAACCTAAGGTTTGTATTCCCTTTGTATTCCTAAGCAGCGTTATGCGCTCAATAGAAAATATTAGGCTAAGCACTTATAAAGGGCAAAGTATATAATTTAACAAGTCAAAATCTTTCGTAATTTCTGTAGAGTTGCTCCTTTATACTAAAAATAACTAAGGAAAAAATTATAAAATAATTTAAAATAAAGTTAAAAGCAAATGCAAAACTAAAAATTTTCATAACAGGTTTTGCTTTCCTGCACTAATTTTAAGTGAAGATTCTATAGTATACCAGCACATTATGCCTATCACTGAGTATCTTCCTGCTCCTAATGTAGTGTATAACTACTACTAAATATAATTATGATAACGTTTTTTATATCACAATATACAAGTTAAAGACTCTGATAGATAGTTTTTCTGCGTTGCATTATAAGCAAAGGACCTTTTTTGTAATTGATCTTATCACTGGCACTGCCCATCCCCTCCACGGCTGGCAAGATTTAGTGCGTGAGGAAAAGGTGGATTAGTATTCTAGCCGCGTTTGGAAGGCTGTTTATATACTAATTTTTAAAGCTTGTCGTTGGGTACTGCGACCCATGTGGCAACCCGCATGCACCAGGATGGCCGATCAGAAATGTCGTCGCGACTATACTATGCCACTGTAGCCCTTACGTCCAAACGGTGGATATTGGTCGGATCAAATTTACTTATATATATATATATTGTAAAGTAAACACTGCTTTTGTTAGTGTGTTACCGCGAAGAATGGAAGTCTGGAGTTTGTATGGTTGAACACGGCATAGTTGTTTGTGGCCTGAAAGTTTTTTCTTTAGTTGATATAAACAGTTATTTATTTTGAATATATAATAAAATAAATTATTTATTGATTGTTGGTAACAGGACCGTTAAAAATAGTGGGCTGGGAGAGGAATGTGAAAAATAAACTTGCTTGGCGAGTTTTAGATTTGAGTTCTACCCTAGATCCTAAGAAGTATAAATTTTTATATGTACCTCATTACCACAAATTACAAAATTGCTAGGATCGCTGAAACTGCTTGCTTTATAAATTTGAGTTTAATGAAGTGGCGACTCTTACCGTCTCTTGATATTGATAAACTTTTCGCCGTAAAAGTAAAAAAAAGCAGCTATAATTTTTCCACCCAATTTTTATTTGGGGGATTCACATTATTATAATGGCTAGAAAATTAAGAATAACTTACCGGATGTTACAAACATATAATTAGAACAAATAACCCAATACAACGCAATTTAGCATTTTCTTATCGAAACACATTTATTTTTTATTGGATTAACTTGCTTTACTTTATTAATATCTATGGAAGTGTCTAATCATAGGCGCGGGTACACTAGGTTGTAATGTGAGCCGCTGTCTACTCGCGTGGGGGATCACTCACGTGACCTTTGTTGATAACGGGTAGCCCTTTATATTTTTATCAACTGTGAATGCTTATTATGTAGCTAAACCTCAATAATACGCAAGGGTTATGTCATTAAAAATATTTATTATTATTAAAATTATGTTAAGAGTTTTAGCTTAATAGGTAGGAAAATCCAATTATTATGCTTTAAGTAAACCAACAAAAAAATAATAGGTTGGTCATTACAGGTTAGTTTTATATTTTCTTGTTTTACTAGGAAAGTTTCCCTAAGTAACCCCACACGCCAAACTCTTTTTGATTTCAAAGATAGTATGCAGGTAATAGTAGTAATAATAATAATTAATAAAGATAATATTATATTAATAATACTGCAAATGACGTGAAACGAACAGGGCGGCAAGTGTAAAGCTTATGCGGCGGCGGAAGCGCTTAAACGCATCTATCCCAACTGTGTAAGCGCTATCTATATGACACACACTTATTGCTACTTATAATAATAAACTTTGCTCTTGATAATTATTTTTTATCTTTCCCAATAGCAAAGCCGGGGCTACGAAATAACTGTCCCTATGCCGGGCCATGCCATCGCCATTGATGAGGTAGACTCGACTTTGAAGGTTTTACATATTTACAAATAAGTTTAGCGATATTTTTTATAACAGGTTGCTATACTATTATATAATTTTTTATAAAGTTAAACAAGTTGGTTTTTCAGCAGTAATCACTGATATAATAATGTTTTATTTTTTTGTGCACTCTATTTAAAAGTGTATACAAAAAATACTTTGCGAGATCTTAAATTAAGTAAATAAAAGCTATTAGGAGTTAATATAAGTTTGGTGTGCATTATTTTCAAAAAAATTAATGTTTGCAATATGAGTACTAATAAGTATAGTTTTATAACAAACTCTTGTTAGGATTTTAAACTGCTAGAAGAACTTGTTATAGAGCACGATGCTATATTCTTGCTAACTGACAGTCGTGAAAGCAGGTGGTTGCCCACTGTCCTTTGCCAGGCTCATGATAAAGTTAAGCAGTTTTTAGATTTAATTAAGCTTCATCTATTGAGGATAAACTAATAGATTTGTATGAATGCCGCTTTGGGTTTCGATTCTTTTGTGGTTATGCGCCATGGAAATTACGACACTCCTATTAAAAAACGCTTGAGTTATTAAAAAACTATTATTAAGATAAAATAATGATAGTAGTCAGTATAGAAAAAGGTTTTAATGGAATATTATAATTATTTTCATTTAAGGTTGTTACTTTTGCTCGGATGTTGTGGCTCCAGTGAATGTAATATTTATACAAACCTTTAATGTGATTCTTTGCTAATTACCTACATCAAGTCCTTTGAAAGCAGAACATTGGACCAGCAGTGCACAGTGACGAGGCCAGGTCTATTTTCGGCCACTAGTATATCATCCTAACCAAATGAAAATATCTGACTTTGCTACTATGATGCACTCTAATTACTACATATTACTGCGTAGCTTCCTTCAGTATACATAATAATGCAATAATGGGCGTCACTTAAAATTTTAACTTTTTTTTTAAGCTATTGCGACTATGGACTTGCAATATATAATAATCGTGTGCTGATAAAATACCTTTTGAAAATACTTTCCTCTACCTTAACCTACATATAAGTAATACTATGTCGTAGTTTTAGTTTAATAGGATAAAAGGTTGACTAAAAAAAAATTAACTAAAAAAGATATTATACCGAGGAAACCTGCTAATTTTATATAAATAAGGTCTTTCCTTTATAGCAAGTGCTTTAACGGTAGAATTGTTTGTTTCTTTTATACAGTATCCAGAAAGGTCAGTCCATTTATATCTTTAACTGTTTTCTCTTAACTTACAACCTTAAGTGCACTTGCACTAAAATAAGAGTACTAAAAAAATAATTTTAACTTTAAAATTACTTTTATATATCCGTTACTATTTTGTTAACATTGCCTAATATTGTTAACCTTTCTATCTCCAGCAATGAAGTTGAGGAGACCCCTTTGGGTACTCCAGATTATGTGATGATCGAAGCAAGCTTTTTTTAATTTTGATTAAATAATTAGGAATAGTCCCTCACCAAATTCGAGGGTTTTTGTCCCTGTATAATTTATTAATATCCCGCGGGGAAGCTTTTAGTAACTGCGTTGCATGCTCTGAGAAGGTTAGCAATTAAACCAAACACTGAATATTATAAATGTTTAAAGTCTTGAAGGTCCTTCAAGCCTTTAGGGATAACAAGGAAGAGTTGTTATTGAAGTGTTGTAACGACGCTCTTTACTTGGAGGAGATTACCGAGTTGGCATATACAAAAGAAAATATTGATCAAGTAAATTGTTATTGTGTTTGGCCGTTTTTTTCAGTAGAGTCTCTTACTGGCGTTTTATGAACAGTTCTTCTTGGACTCTGATCTTGATGATAATAAAGAAGATTAATATTTAATTGTTTCATCATTTGGCAACTGTACAAAATAACTTAATAAAATGACGTTTCTTTATAGGGAGTATAGAATTGTAACCTTACCGAATTCTTAGTCCGTCAATCGGACTCCCGTCACGCAGGCTAGGAGCGCTCGTTTGTAGTAAAAGCTGAACTTTTGCATCAAGCGGTCGATCCAGCACCAATATTTTATTTTCATTAAATTTGTTATGAAATAAACCCCACACATATGTTCAAAAATTAATAGAACTTATGGTAACGAGGTCTTTATGAAAGATAATGATGGAGGATGAATAAATAGATCCACCACTTAAATTACGCTCATGATAACCACTAGCAAAAATTAAGTACTAACTTCAAAGGATTTATGACAGTGCGTATACTAAAAAGTTTTTAAGTTACTACATTAGGTGGTACACTAATGAAACATGCCCTTACCCCCGGAGAACCGGTTTTCACAAGAAAAATTAGAAATATCATTTTGGGTCCTAATTCCTGTATTGCCCCGGGGTTTTTTTCAGGTCTTTCTAGGGTTAGTGTTGGTAGGAGTTTTGAGGGTTTTGAATGTTTTACAAAAAATTATGAACACACTCCCCAGGCCTGTTAGTCAACCTCTGCGGATATAATTATTGAGGCAGGCATCATTATCAACAAAATATTTTAGTTAGCGAACTCTATGAGTTTATTTATATACTATAAGATTTCAAACTACTCTTACAATTCTATTCTGAAAGTAATAAAATCATTATTACCCAATAAAGCCTATTAAAAATAACTATAAAGCTGAACTTCTGTTATGAATCTTATTTTTATAGACTAAAATTATATTTTTTTAATTTCTTTTTTTTTTTTTTAACCTTTTTTACAGTTTAAGTTAGAAATAGGTAAATTATTTAATCTTGGTTATAGGATTCCAAAAATCTGGTTACTGTAATCTAAGAATTTTTCTTTTTAAGTAAGAAAGGAACTTTAGTTTCTTAAAAATTTAGGTGTATTACACTTTACGAAATATTTGTATATTGTAAGCTACACTAACACCTAAAGTTTTTGAGTGAATCTCTGGAAGGTTTAGCTTAAGTCTTTATTTAATATAATAATTTGTTTTACTAAGTAAGTTGAACTTATAAATTAGGTTATAAATTGGATTTTAAAAAATCATATATTTATTTTTTTGAGCTATAAATATGCAAAAAATACAAAATTTTAAAAATTATCAAAATTTTGAAAGTTAAGGTCAGTTATTTTTGCTTTTATTACACCTGCAAAATATAGATTTTGTATGATCAACAATTAAGATATAAAAAATTCTATAAAACAGATAAATATAAGAGCCTCGACGGAAGTAAAAAGTCAAAGAGTAAAGAGTACTAAAATAAAAAGGACACTTGAAGTGCTAAGAAAAAAAGTAATTTAAAAAAAAGTAAGGTAGGTAAATAGTAAATTATTTATTCTACTACTAAAAGATATACCAACAAAAGTTTGTAAAACGGTTCACATGGTCTCAAAACCTATTTTAAAAGATTTTATATAGTTTGAAGTATATACAAAATATATATCTGATATAACATAGATTGTAATAAATAAAAGTTAGGGATAACATTATTTTTTTTTAAAGTAAAAGAGATTAACAAGTGAACCCTAAAACAAGGCATACAAAATTCCAATTCACCAACACAGTTTAACTTTAACACAGACCAAAAATAAACAAAGTCATCTACCATTAGGAAAAATAAAAAAGTAACGAAATTTATGGATTTCCCCCAGAAATATACTTTTTAGTATACTCAGTAATTCTCTTTAAAAGACCAAACTCTGCTACAAAATCTAAAAATTTCTCGTTTAAAACTACAGGTGACCTGCGAAGGGCATCAAACAATAACTTTAAAGATTTTCCTAAAGTAAAGGAGTCCGAACTTTTGTATTTCTTCTCTATTCTTTGATGTAGTCCAACTAGATTGCCAATAGGACACATCAGGAACTATTCCCAAAAAAACTTGCAATAACTAACTTTATAATTCCTGCCTTCATAACCTTTTGTGCCGTGTACTAATGTTTCATCTTGCTTATCCACGGTAATGCTATCAACCCTTTCTATTGAGATATCAACAAAATTTGAAGAGGGGCCCTGCAAGAGACACTGAGACATTCGGGTTTCAGCGTTAATAGGTCTATCAGCACATTGACAATCCCTAAAAATATTTAAAGGTCCCTCATTTGAGGAACCTTGCAGACCTTTAGGTCTTAATCCAGTCGTGCCACATAGGGTGTAGGGTTGCCACACCTCAGTGGCACGTTTCCTCGAGACATCATAGGGTAAATTCATCCCTTCCAAGCTACTCCTAAATTGAGGTAGTTCATTACGCATATTAGTTCAGAAAAGTAGTGTTTTGGCAAACTCTTGTTCCTTACCTCTGTTTAAGAAGGCCTGCTTCTATTTCTGTGGAGCTGTAAATCATGCTTAACAAGCTCAAAGTATGCGTGAGTGGCCTACCATCAAGAGCTAAACTAAATTTATCCATATACGTTTTCTGGCATCAATAAGGAATTCATTGAGGTCAAAACGTTTATGTGAACCAATAATTTAGTTTTTCGACAACTATTAGCTTCTATCCTCCTGCTAGCATCTTTTAAATTGATATATTGGAGGGGCAAAGAAAAAAGTTGTAGCTAAAATCATTGGCAATAGCTAAAATATATTTAATTTTCCTTTATGCATAAGGAGATCGTGAATCAAAGACACCATTTCTCCAAAATCCCATTTAATTTTAGCAGTTCTTTTAGACCTCACTTCAAGCATCTTGACTAATTTATACCATTTTTCACTTTTTTCATATATAGTGGCCCCTTTTGAGTATACGACTGAAATAAACTTATTACTTTTATAATTTTTATTTCCAGGAACAGATTCAAAAAGGTCAGTATATGACCTGTTTTTAAAAATGAGCTCCAAACCTTTTTAAAATTCTTCATTAGTGAGTTTAAGTCATTCACTAATGATTTCAGTTATACATCTAAAAGGAAGCTTTAAATATGATTTATCAATCAAGGAAAAGAAAGTTGAACGCATTAAACTCTTGAAAGAAACAACATTAGTGGCACTTGCTTTGTTGAAAACGAGTTAACTTTAAAGTAGAAATGTTAACTCCTAAGATTTCTGAGTATGTTCGAATGTACTCATCCACAAAAATGTTCCAAGTCCCGCTTTTTACCACGAATTCTATGGATAAAAACCCTTTTCAAACTGATCTTTTATGGGGGGCTAATTCTTATAATGCACTAAGTTAATTAAGGTTTGCAGTGTTTCAACTTTTCTAACTGGTAGCTCCTTAATTGTATCCCGAGGAAGAATCGGTAATTCCAGGTAACTTCGAATTGAACACAGCACACTTCGAAACTAACCTGGGAGGAAATGGAAATTAAAGAAATTCTCTCAATACTATCTCAAAAAAAACCGTATAAAACAAAAAATTACAATCAAGAGAGAAAAAACCATTAAAAATGTTTCGAGAATTCATTATAACCTTTTCGTGAAGAACTTACGTTCTACAACAGAAAAAGCTAGCCTTCTCAACATTCATCTCGGAATGCGCCATACAATCGAAGCCACGCCGAAAGGGTAAGTTAAACTCTAACGGTATCTGTTTGAAGAATACAGAATTCTAACTCCTTAAGAACACTGAATTTTTTCTCTTTCACGCAGCACTAGCCGTTTTTCCGAAACAAAGGTATAACCGTAATAGATAATCGTTAGTAAACTTCGAGAATTATGCGGATAGTAACCACACTTGTAAGGTCTGGAGCAATACAAAAGAGTACTGTAAGAGTTTATCTTATCAGCACCAAAATTTTTGTAACGCAAGGTATTGCTCTAAATGAAAGAATAGTAATTGCAGTTAGCTCCTAGATTAGAGAAAATAAACTGTGGGTATTTTCCAAGTCGGGACTTTGAAGGAAAGCGTCGTCAATAAAAATTGTTTCAATAACTTTTCCAAAAATTTCAATGACCATGCCTGCTTTTGAAAATTTGAAGAGGCTAAGGTTCAGGTATTCGTAAATTTTGATTATAACTTTTAACTTTTCATTATATAAGAATTCTTTATTATTAACGCTTTGAAGGTAAAAAACCCCCTCAATATTTTTAGCACTCAAAAAACCTTTGAATGATGAATAACACTTATATAATTTTTCATTAATACAATGACTTTGATAGTTGATTTTTATATTGGTTGGGGACAAATCTTCAAAAGGAACAGAAAAATTCGAAAGAGTTATAAAATTGCATAAAATATGGAACAGTTGTAAATAAAGAACATTATCAAGTCTGTCGCTCTTGTTAACTTAAAAAAAATAGCAATACAACCAAAGTAAGTCTAAGTTGATGATAAAAGACACGCTGGTGTGCCGCTAACCTTAAAAAAGTGATTTGCAATGCGCACTATATCTGATCTATTTAACAGATTCTATCTTATTAAATTCAAAGTCATATCAAAGAATATTAACTTATGAAACTCTTCAATATTAAAAACACTCATTAGGCCATCAATATTTAGTAGATAGTGATAGTCATTCCCAATAGAGTCAAATTTTAAACAGGAGAACACGAACCGAGAGTAGTTTCTAAATAAATTTGCGGTTTCTCTTTCAAAGAAGGCATCGAGAGAAACAAATAAAATTTAAGTGCCTAAAGAAGGAGAACAAATGCCAAAGTGTAGTTATACAGAAAGTCTAGACCACCTTAATTTTTACAAACTGTTGTCTACCAATAGGAAATAAATTAATAAACTAGGCCAATAACCAGTTCACTTCCAAATAATGTTTATACGTGAAAAGGTCAGTTTGGACATAGTATAAGTTTAAAATTGCCAGTTCCTTCTAAAAAGAAAGCAAGTTAAATAAGACGAATACTAAAGGAATTAATAGAAAAGTAAATCGGTTTCCTTAGTATTCCCTGTTAAAACTTACCTTGACAACTTTTTTTTTAAAATAGAGCAGGCAAAATCTTAGAAACTTTTAAAATTTAAACTTGTCGACAAGTTAAATAAACAAAACAGATTTATGTAATTTGTAATCAGAGTCACAAGTCTAAAAATTATAGGTAAAATAACAACTATTTTAATAAAAAAAATATATTATAGAAAGAATAAGTAGTAGAATAACTAACTAAATAATAAAGAAATATATTTAAAAACAAGCAACTAAAACAGCAAAATGAACAAAAAAACAAAATGAGAAAGCTGAGTACCAAAAAGACGAAGAGTTACACATTATTGCACTGGCTTACTACCGATATGACTTAGGATCGATTGGTGCTTAATTTACTTTAATTGAGGGAGCAAAAACCACAAGTTCCTTACGATTCAATGCGTCATTAAGGAGAACAGGAGCTCGTTATATAGCTAAATAGTTTATAATAAAAAGACGTAAAAGCAAAATACTAAAAATATTAAATGTAAAGGAATAAATTAGCTTCAATTCCAGAATATCATAAAAAATATATATATAATTAAGTTAATACAATAACCTATAATCTCAGCCATACCCTTCCCCCCTTTAGTAGGTCTAAGGAGTGTTTTGACCGCGAGTACTTGGCAACCAACGAAAAAGTCAATTTAGAGTTTGTCTAATAAGATAAACCTAAATAAGCTCGAGGTTACACTCTAGATGTAGTTAGCTATTGTGCACAAATCATGGGGGCCTCCACCACCATTTTAGAACGCGATTCTGTAGTAGTTGTAGTCGATGAATAATTTTGTTTAAAAATAGGCACAAGGAGTAGAGTCCTAGACCATCAGCGGGCGTATAACTACAGAAACTCTTTGCTAAAAGGACTATAACTTTTCTGGTTTTAAACGACTTAAGAAGGATGTGGAGTCCACTTAGTCGTTCGTCACGCACAATTTCGAGATAACCTTCTTACTTCGAAGGATGACAGTTTACTAGGGATCTAGGGAAGTATCCTTCCATTTCTTATAATTACAAAGCGACTTTTCGGCTAGTTAATTATCAACCTACCTATTGAAAAGCCAAATCTCAATTACTGTCAACTTAAACTGTATGTTTTTAAACAGAAGACAGGCGGAATTTGAATTATAATATATAAGGCTGTGTCGTCAACATATTGAGCCTAATTTCTATTTTTCCGACACCATTGTGGCATGTCGCACATGTAGATAGAAAAAAGTAAATGGGGTACTAAGAAGCCTTGTGAAATACACGCCTTTAATTGTCTAAAAGCGGACTTTTACGAACTTTAGCAGTAAAAGTTCTATTCATTAGGTATGAGGTGTACTACCACCGTCAAGTAAAAAGGGAAGCTGGATCCTTTGCCCTATTTTATCGAAAAGTCTTTCAATATCTAAAAGACCACACGTTTTACTTTTTTTTATTAAGAAAGCTTTTGTAGCTTATCTCGTAAGCCTAATTATTTAGTGAATTGTGGGGTGCTTAATTCGAAAACCAAAAAAATTGGAAATTAGGCAGGACACCAAGCTTATTGGGCGATAATCTTTAATAAAACAGTTAGAGGAATAAAAATTACTAAAGCCAATTTCCACAGTTTGGGGAAGTAGGCTATGGTGAGTGTTTGATTAGTTAATCTTAAAATCATAGAGATAGCTCGTGGAATTTAAGTTTTTAGGCATTATCGGTATCCGAGGCTTTTCTAATATTAAGGACTTGGATAATAGTTTTAAGTATTCGCACTGGTGCTAAGTTTAACCTTGTTACATATGTTAGGTCCTAAAAGGTAAGAAGTAGGCTATGGTAGACGCATGCTTAAAGTGGTGCGGATTCTAATATTTATGAGTGGGCTGCCAGTGTGTCAGCTAATGCCTCTACTATTTCGGAGGGCGTCGTAGCTGAGGCCTCCAGCACCATGAATGAGCGGTTTTATGCCCCTAGCCCCAGTAGATCTAATAGTTCTTGTTAATCTCCTTAAAGAAATTATCTGGCCGAAAAGACTATATTTTTTGCCAGCTCTTAAGAAAACAAGCTTTCAATTTCTCCTTAACCTCAAAAATTGATCTTGTTGTAAAGTTTTCTATCGCTTGGAAACAAGAGTTCAGACCTCTTGCTTTCGCCTTCTCATAATTTGAGATCTAATATGGCCTAGTAGGTTATATTGATGGTTTTTTGTGGGCCTACTATAGTTTACCTTTATAGCTCCTTCCATTGGCACAACAGCTATGTCTAAATCAAGTGCTTTGCCAATGAAGTGCTGCATGATGACTATGCATTTGTCCAAATATTCCAGAACTGTTTGTAAAACTGGTTGCCTTTTTAACCCAAGTTGTCGAAATCGACTAATCTCCTATCTCTATGAGGATGGGATTAGGATCAAAGAGAGTACAACTAGCATATTGACAATGACAGGTACTTAAATAATTTATGTTACTGTGGCGATTTTGGACCAATAACTATTAAATTTTTTTGTCGACTATGTCGGCAAACCTTATTTCAATGTCGCTCCTCCGCCTTCTATTCCACAAAGGGTTTTTAAAGTTTAACTCTCCAGACATTAAAACCCCCGCAATTTTAGGTATAACCTTGTCGAGAGATTTGTAAGTAGCAGTCATACTGACTACTCCAATGTAACAGAGCTCTCTATTTACGCAGACATCTTCTAAAGTTACCTCTATACAATAGAGCGCTTGGTGGGTGATGCTTCTTCCAGTTAAGACAGACATGCCTGGTCCTCCAGTATCTTTCCAGTCGCATTTGTGAACAGAATAGTTAGGTACCTTAAATCAGTTGCCTTCCTTCAGATGTGTACCAGATGAAAAATTTTGTTCAGGTCCATTCTGGCAATAAGTTTCTGAATTAGCCTCCATTTAGATAATCTAAAAATTATTTCACTTCTAAATTAACTCCTAATGGCCTTTGC